CACGCTGCACAAACATCGATTGATCATTTAACTCCTTCCTCTACAACGATAGACATGCGTATGGGCTTAGAAGATAGTTTTATAGAGAATTGGTTGAACCTTTGGTTTAGCTAAGCCACATCTCAATCATTTAACTCCTTTCTCTACAATGATGGTTTGTGCAAAGAATACCCTCAATTCTCCTAAAAATTCTAAAATTTAAAATTAAACAAATTAAAATGCAAAACAAATGTCGCTCCACCTCCATGCAAATTTATAAACCACACTTCGCTTCAAAAAATCCCAAAAGTGACATGTTCATAACATCTCTAAGATGTAAGCCTACATAAAGTTTGTTCCATAGACATACACTTATGCTTGTGGGCAAACATTCTAATAGGACTATCATGATGATTAAGTTGTTGTGAGGTGTAATATAGTTCTGACTTAGAAATCCTACCGCTTTCTATTTAAAGTACTTGGAGAATTTGTTTTGATAAAAATGATATAAAACCATAGTATCACATACCCTCATTTGGTGAGCAATTCCTACCAAAGCCAAATATGACATCCCGCAAGTTTCAAGCCTTCTACATAAACCGCTTGTTATTATGCTTGAGTTTGGTCAAGTTTTGTTCACCCTTGTTGAGAGATTTATCATGCTCCCAACATCAAGATCACGTGACACTCCATATACACATGCTGCTTCCTACACTAGGAGTACGCACAAACATGCTTTCGTTTAGATTCACCAAAAATTCTGATCCTACACCGGGAGTAGACAAAAATATGTTTGTTAAGTAAATACTCCATGTTATAACAAGATAAAAGATCTCTCTCTAAATATGTGGTTTAGAAGAGACATGGGCTATGCAAAAGCTAAAAAAATGGACACATGAAAGTCCAAGTATAAAAGAAAAAATGATGAGCACATGAAGGCTCATGTATTGAAAAAAGGAAGAAAGAAAGATAGCCATGTTTTAAAATAATAAGTTATAGAGAGAGATCATATCTACAAAAGGAGTATAGTTTTAGTTTATCTTTTTCCACACACATGCACATCTTGATCTAAGAGTATGGCACTTCTCTCCTTGGATCCTCAATTTGACTTTTACAACATATGCAATACAAGTATGCTACATTGTTTTATCCCTACCTAAAGTTCCACATAAACCTTTTTAGAAGTAGGAGAAAAAACAAAAGAAGGCAAAACATTGCTATGCCTTGGTAAGGATTTATACACCATTGAGTGATTTGATAGTGCCATTTGAGGAGTATAAAGTGAACTATGCTTTTTCTTGAGAAGAACTTCCAAAACTCCAAGCTGCTAAGATGTGAAATTGGGAAGATGACTTTGTTCCAAGAACTATTCCACTTTTCAACCACCCAAGGAAACATGTTAGCCAACGCCATAAATCCCAATTGTGTAAAGAATGTGTTGTAATAGCTTTCATGTAAGGCATATATCTTAAAATGTTTTGCTTTCAAAGATTACTTTTTATCTCTAACTTTACTCGAGGACTAGCAAAGGGCTATGTGGGGAAGCTTGTTGGCAAAGTGCTTAACTCACATTTCTAACTGCCAATTTTCATATAAAATGCTAAAATAAACACCAAGCTTAGACATAGGGCTTTTAGAACTAACAATTTCACAAGTTTTGATCTTTGACCATTTGCACGAGGACATTCATGGAATACATAGAAAATACATTCAAAATGCTAAAGAAACAAAGCATAACACCGTATTGCACAAAGCAAAAGAGCCCAAGGGGAGAAATCCCACTCATCGAGCCAAATCAGGGCCAAATGTGGAGAAAAAGAGCCCAAACCCAAACCAAATGATCTCCAAATGGCGTGAAACTTCACAGTGCGCTGCTCCACACACCCCGTGAGGCCCACCAGCAAAGGCAGTGGCGAGACGGGCCACCCAGGTATGGTCGCACCTCTAGCTGCGCCAACCTCCTTCCGCTGCCACGTGTCGCCTCCCCATGATCCTCCATGGTGGTTGCATGCAAGGGCTCCTCCAAATATAGCCCCTAAACCGACCTCTTGAGTACTATAAAAGGAGGGGGAAGGGCTCCCATTCACAACACAACACGCAAGGAAGAAGAGCACACCTCACTTGAGTTAGAGCACCACCCAAAGGGCTTAGACCCTAGTAGCTAGTAGACTTGGATAAGGAGAGATGTGAGGGAGAGTATGGGAAGCGCTGGGCTTGTCGGTGTGTCCCCGAGCTTGTACCTTGATGAACACATGTGCCTCAACGGGTTCTCCCGCCAAGTGAGTATTCGTGTTTTCTGTGGTATAAAGTCTTTTGATTGAGTTAAGCTTTTACTCTTACTTGTTTATGGGTTCGCCCGCCTCGTAGCTGATACTCTAGTAGAGGGGCCCGATAAAGACTGATAACCCCACGCGGACCTAGAGTAGTAGTCGACACCGTAGACATGGTGTCTAGGCTAAAGGCTTACCTGCTTGCCTCATACTCCACGGTTGAGGGGGAGGCGGCAGATGGTGACAGCCCTGCCTGCTCCTTTGTAATCCCCACGTCCGGCACTGACGTGAGCTACTGCTTCTGCATCGCTATGGCATCCAAAGCGCCCTGTGTCCGGCAAGCCCAAGAGAAGTAGAATTTATCTTCTCATAGACCCAAAAGCCATAGAATCCATCCCTACTCCTTTCCAACTTTACCCTTGTGTTGTCCTTGGACGAATTAGCTAGAAGAAATACCTTCTGCCCTCGTGGAAAATACGATACTCAATAATACTTCCGTGAAAGCTACAACAGAATTCCGTACACTTGTGGATTCGTTCTGTAGACATTAAAAAATATCAATACTTACCCTACTTGCAAGTTGGCTATCCCAACTTTCCCTGGTCAGCAAAGCCCAATAAATGTGAAAAGCCACCAAAACCCTTCAGATTTATACCGAACATGGTGTACATGTTCTCGAGGTGTTTGTTGACTTATATTGAAGCAGTCCCTACACCCACAAAACAAGCACAACCAAGGAGGTACAAGTGGAAGCACAAATAAATGATTGAAATATGAAATGTGAGGCAAACAAAATAGAGAGACGCGGCGATGTAATTCCCAGAATTCGGATCCCCACTGGACCCTACATCTTTGTTGAGGAAGCTATGACAGACTACCCCATGATTAAGCTCTATAGCCGGGTTGCTCTCAACCACTTTCCTTGCTCCACTAGATGATATTTTCCCCTTTCCATGGCAAGACCGCAACCCGCATAAATTGTCTCGCAATACTCCACATGTTGGGTGCTCATCTCGACAACGCCTAGCCATCTAGAAGCCAAGCTCCAAAAGTAACAAATGCACAACCGAATTGCTCGATACACAGCCACGGCGCTCAAGGGTTGGATTCAGCTCACTAGTGCTCACTTAAGCTCACACAACTCAATTCACTCACTCCAATCCAACAGATTTCATTATTGTCACCAAATCCTACAAAGGATGGATTGGGAGCTGTAACAAGGCTTAGCTGATGATATGGACATGAGAAGCTTCAGTAGCCAGCCACAAGGGATAGGAATGAGTATATATATAGCTAACCCCCAAAAACTAGCCTTTGGATAGTTACTTTAGTTACGTTTTTCTCATGTCCACCATTTTATATTTCTGGGCAAATACACTTAATTATACAAGTGAAACCCAAACATGTCGACACCAACAATATAATGATGGAGGTCGTCATGATGCACGAAGGGTTACAGAGTTGCGGCGGCACATATAGAAAGAAGAAGATAGGAAAAACATCGCCTCGGGAGTGGAAATTCTGGAGGATTCTTGCCCCGGCAGCAACGTACTAGTACTTGTAGTATTTGTACGCCGCGCCCACGGGCCACGGCAAGCACTGGCACTACAGTCGTCTACAGAGCAGCATTGGTTTTACGCGAAGGAAGGAGTAAAACTCCACATTGCTCGATTGATTCTTTGCTTCAAGTCCACGATCTAGCTAACTCTCTCGTCATCGCTCTTGCACGTTAATATAATAACCTAATATATAATTGATTGCTATTGATTACAAACCAATAATATATATATATATAACCGGTGTACTTTACACAATCACGTACTTTTAATTTCATTTTGATCTGGGAGCATGCATGCGGGCAGTGTGTATCGTGCACGTATCCGTTCGTGCGTGCGCCACATATATAGCACGAGTCAACCCGGCCATGCATCTATCACATGCAATGCAACCAATCTGACAGGAATTAATTGGCTTGCAAAGTGAGATTCGTGCTGTATGTAGCTAGTGTACAGTAGTAGTGTCTGTCTGATTAACGGTGACTTTTGATGCTTCTCTGCCCAATGGAAGCCTGTCACCTGTGTGTCCGCGTTAATTAAGCCCCTGTCGTACAGCGGTCAGTACACATACCAGCTGACAAATCATACTATGCATCTGTACTAGCAGGCTTAATTTCTTGGTAAAGTTCACCTTTAAATTTTACTGTAAATTTTTTACAGATTATATTATATATACTATATGATTCTGCACCGCCAGGTAGCGCAGCAGAGGGCATCTCTTGAGAGACTAATTAACAACAGACATATATACAGCACGCATGTAATTACCCTTGCTTGTGTGTCGTTTGAACATACATACATGCATCAGCGATACACTTATACTAGTACGGCGTACACATGCTTCGTCGTCGTCGTCGAGGTCCCCTTATCTCCCTTCCCTCTAGCTACCGGCCTACTGCTTCGTCTTGCGTTGTTTGCTGCGTGGTGCGTGTTGTGTGTGCCCTACCCGGCCATGTCGCTGCTTATAAATATAGCTTCGTTTCACGCTCCCCAGTCGCCATTGCTTTGCTCTGCTAGGTCGCTCCTCTGAGTCCTCTCTCACTGCCGCCGGCCTGTTAGTATATAAGCTTAGCTTATTTGCGAGCACAAGATCGACCTCAGGATATATACATAGCAGTTTCACGTTCGGCGATAGTTGTCATTGACGATCGATATATAGCACGCAGCCAGCTAGCTGGCTGGGGTTATCTGCTACATGGGCGGTGGGTCGCCGTGCGCGTCGTGCAAGCTGCTCCGTCGGCGGTGCACCAAGGACTGCATCTTCGCGCCATTCTTCCCGGCCGACGACCCCCTACAGTTCGCCATCGTCCACAAGGTCTTCGGTGCCAGCAACGTCTCCAAGATGCTCCAGGTGCGCGCATGTCTGCTTCTTTATTTTCTGATCGACGTGTGCATGCGTACGTCCGCGCGGCAAACTAACGGCGTACATTCATATTTATGCAGGAGCTCCGGTGCAGCAGCGCGGCGACGCGGTGAGCAGCCTGGTGTACGAGGCGAACGCGCGGATGCGGGACCCGTCTACGGCTGCGTCGGGGCCATCTCCTTCCTGCAGAACCAGGTGTCGCAGCTGCAGATGCAGCTGGCCGTCGCGCAGGCCGAGATCCTCTGCATCCAGATGCAGCGCCGGAAGACGGCGGCGGCGGCGGCCCCTGATGACGTCGACGTGGTGGTCCCGCCGTCGTCGTCGCTGGTGGTCGGGGCAGGCGGCGGCGCCGACCACCACCACCACCACATGACGATGGCCATGCAGCAGCAGGCGATGATGGCCGCCGACGTCGAAGTGGACGCCTTCCTCATGCAGAACGCCGGCGCCGGCGCCGGAGCCATCGTCCCGCCGCAGCTCATCGGCATGGGCTACGGCGGCGCCGCATCGGCTGGCGCCATGGGAGAGACGGCGGCACTGAAGAGGGAGTCTCTGTGGACGTAGCTAGCAAGCGCATAATTGCCCAGCCCCCAGATTTAGGGGTGTTTGTTCACTCTTCACCTCTTAAATCTAGTCTCATTTAGTCTCATTTAATCACTTTTTATATAAACACTTTGACTAAATAAAACTAAAAAGACTTTAGCCAACTCAAATATTGCTAAATGAGACTAAACTTCATCTTTTAGTCAGGTTGCCTCACCTTTTAGTCACCTTAGAGCTAAACACCATAATTAAAATGGACTAAAAAACCTCTTTTAGTCTCTTTTAGTCCACCAAACTAAATAGGAGTTACTAAAGTTTATGAGGTGGTTTAGAAGACTAAGGTGCAAACCACCCTTAGTCAACTTTGCATCTGTGTACGTGGTAGGAGCACTGCACAGCCAGCGGCAGCGCGCCTAGCTAGCTATTGTGTAGCTTGCATTGTTTGCTTCACTTCTTGCTTGTAGCTAGGGCTAGCTTAGTTAGGTTAGGCTAGTTAATTAATTAATTAGAGAGACTTCTTTCCTCTATTTTAGTTTCCTCCTTTTAAATCTTGCTGATCTCTCTTATTTCTGTGCTTCCTGTTAACTAGTTCATGTGCTGTGTACTTATCATCATCAATCTGAGAACTAGTTAGTTGGGCCAGGGATAATCCTTGTTCTAATTATTAATGCATTATTCACAGTGTGTGCCATGTGTATGGTTGGCAGCAGGGAGTATATATCAAATATCAAATTCAGACATTCACAAACACGCCGACAGTAACGTGACTGGAAATTTAGTTACTGAAAATTAAAACGAAAAGAGAGATATGTAGAAGGGCATGTGAGGCCAACAACTGGTACTAGCTAGTTATTATCAATACATACTCCTTCGTCCTATAATATAGTGCATTCTAGCATTCAAAATTTATCCTTAAATATAATTCATTCTAGAGAACAAGAACCAATTTTGTATTAAATAATTTTCATTTATCAACCAATCACCATTAACCACGTTGATGATAGCGTCTGATTAGGAAATAAAATGAGAGTACGGTATTTATGTTCTCTCTTAATTTGTCTTAAAATTCCTACTATATTATATGAAGAGGGACTATATTCAAAATTTACTGATTGTGATCAGATTGATGAAGATTATATATATTATTAGGGCACGGCAGCTAGCACGCATGTGCATGCGACCAAGTGATCAGATCACATGCATGCATGCATGGGGTGATTAAACTAGTCAAAACACCAAAAGTAGACCAAGCAGGCCCAGCTTCCTTGTCAGACAAACAACTGCCCCCTACAAATCGAAGCCCGAATCTCCAAAATCCGTAAGGGACGGTGCTTTCTCTTGGCCCTGCCAATGCAGAAACTACACCATAGTTTCACATAAGCGTTTTGTCGATGAGACAAGATAGTTATTGAAGAGAGACACTACTGGATTCAGGTTCTTTGCCGAGTGCCTGAGGCCAAATTATACTCGACAAAGCCTTTGCCGAGTGCGGCACTCGGCAAAGAACACACGGCAAAAAATTGATCGGCGAAGCCCTCTTTGCCGAGTGTCTTTTATCGGCACTCGGCAAAGAAAAACGACCGCCACGGCGCCCGCCCCGTTGATTTGGAGCTTTTGCCGAGTGCCAACCAATAGGCACTCGGTAAATTTTTTTTATTTTTTAAATTTCTTTGCCGAGTGTCAACCCCGCAGCACTCGCAAAGATTTTTATTTTTTAAAAAATTTTGTAGAGTGCCCACCCACCGCACTCGCAAAGTTTAAATTTTTAATTCTTTCGAAAGTGCCCTCTTCCAAGACTCGCAAAGTTTGAATTTTTTTTTTTCTTATTTTTACGCACTCGGCAAAGTTTGATTTTTTAATTCTTTGCCGAGTGCCCTCTACGCCAACACTCGCAAAGTTTGATTTTTTTAAAAATTCTTTCTACCGAGTGCCCTCCGGACCGCACTTTTCGCAAAGTTTGAATTTTTTTAATTCTTTGCCGGTGCCCTCCGCCGCACTCGGCAAAGTTTGATTTTTTTAAAAATTCTTTACGAAAGTGCCCTCTGACGGCTTTTCGGCAAAGTTTGAATTTTTTTAATTCTTTGCCGAGTTCCTCCGGCCGCACTCGCAAAGTTTGAATTTTTTAAAAAAATTCTTTGCCGAGTGCCTCTTGCCGCTGATCGGCAAAGTTTGATTTTTTTAAAAAATCTTTGTCGAGTGTCCTCTCCGACACTTCGGCAAAGTTGATTTTTTTAAAAAAATTCTTTGCCGAAAGCCATGGTCATATGACTTTTCAAAGCTGAAAAATGGTTTTCCATCAGCCCATTTTTCCAAACTTTCTTTGAAATCGTGACCATGGCACTTTCAGCAAGGGTCTTTGCCAAGTGCAACACTTAAGCAAAGTGACCCAAAACGATAATTTTAATTTTTTTACATTTTATCATGACAAATAAATTCATACAATAATATATCTCATTCATCACTTATATATCTCATCCATCACATATATATCTTATCCATCCACATCCATCCTTTACATATCACATCCATCATAATATATATCACATATATAATAATAAGTGCTCAAGTCCATTCAAATAAATCCACAAGTCCATCAAAGTCCACAAGTGCATCACAAGTCCATCACCAAGTGAACAAATAAATAAAAAATACAACGTGCACTCATCTCGCCATCATGACCGTGGTGAAGGCCCAAATGCATCATTCGAGGTGCATGAGGTGGATTATTTGAACCACTATCAGATGAAGACTGCACAAAGAAGTAAAGATTGCATGTGAGACAAGATTATTTATATAGCTAATCTAGGAAGGTAGAGGCCATACAAGCAAAGCACAAGCGAAAGTAAAAAACTTTCATACTCACAGGAGTAGCTGTAGCTGCAGGACGCGAAGGCGGAGGTGGAACCAACAGCTAGCTGGTAGAGAGATGTCCTAGTTTGTAAGCATCGTACATGACAACGTGCACGAAATCTTCTAAAATTTTTATCATAGCCTCCACATATGATATCACGACATCTCAACAACTTTCATGATTTTTGGACTTCGTTTGCTTTTTATAGAATTTAAAAATACTTCGCACGCAAGTTCGCGGTCATATTTCGTGAACAAGATGTCTGAAATTTCGGATCAGTTCCTAGATACGGCCTCACACTACACTCAGTAACATGACTATCATTTTTTGAATCATTAAATTCCATTATCCGTACTACGTGCAGTTCAAAATTATATTTTTCGAAAAAATTCAAGTAAATAAAATAAAGTAACTAAATATATCAAAAAGCCATAAAATTCCCCAAATTCTAATTAGGAGTTCTGTGTGTTTTAAAAGGGTTGCACAAAAATTAAAGGCCAAAAACAAAAAAAAACTTTGCCGAAAGTCTTTGGGGCATGACACTCAAGAAAATGGGGTCTTTGCCAAGTGCCACGGATAAGGCACTCGACAAAGAGGGTTTTGAATTTTTTAAAAATTCCTCTTTAGAGTGTCTTCACGAGGGCACTCGGCAAAGACATTTTAAAAAATTAAATATTTATCGAGTCTTTGTGCTGGAGGCACTTTAAGAAAGTATTTTTTAAAAAAAGACATTTTAAAAAAAATCTTTGCCGAAAGTGTCGTGCTGAAACACTCATAAAAGTATTTAAAAAAATTTGCCGAGTGCGGATCTGGGACACTCGGCAAAAAAATTTAAAAAATAAATCTTTGCCGAGTGCGGATATGAGACACTTTCGGCAAAGAATTTTTTTAAAAAAATAAATTTTTGCCGAGTGCCTAACAGCACTCGGCAAAGAAGGACGTGGTCGAACACATTACGCACGCACGTCACCCTATCTTGAGTCTGCCGCTTTTTTATCGAGAGTTCGGCACTTGGCAAAGAAGTCTTTGCGGTGCATTCTTTTGCCGAAGTCGAAGCACTTTCGGCAAAGATTTTTTGCCGAAAGTGCAATTCTTTGCCGAGTGCCCGATTTTGACACTCGGCAAAGAATTTTGCACTCAACAAAGTCTCTGCTTCCGTAGTGAGAGCAAAAATCATAGAAACCGGATCTAAATTAGAAACCATGTCTACATGAAAATCAAGACATAAAGGGATGTGATTGGTATAGAATAGAGAAAGAATGTATATGATTAGATAAAAAATTATTTTTTAGAAACTATCAATTAGAATCATAATTTCTATATGTTGTGTCTATACAAATTAATAGGTAAGCATTGGGATTGCCCTCACGCGACATTGCTAGCTAAACACCAAATTCAACGGTACGACCTGATTAGTACGGCTATATATGTATGGACATGAGCACCGTTTGTCTCTAATGATGCGGGTGCACAAGATATTTTCTCATGTGTAAGCATGGGCATGTCACAGTTGATCATAACAATGTCATTACTCAATAATCCGAGTTTAACAAAACATATCTTAATAAGTCCTTGAAAATATATACTACCTTTTGTCTCAAAAAACTTGACATCAAAGATTTTTCAGACACATGACTATATAGCGGAGAAATGGCCATGATACTTCGCTCTATTATATTCATTAGATATGTGTTTCCCCTTAAAACAAAGCCATATTGATTGAGTACTATACAAAAGAGCAACGCATGGGCTTATATAATTTAGAAATTGCATATAGACATGTAGATTAGTTACCATTCCTAGGTTTAATTAGTGTGTGGTAAATTAATGTGGTGGCACATTGATCCCTAGTGGGTTGCAATGATACGTTTTTGGGACAAATTTGAATGCTAGATGTCATATTCTTTTAGAACACATGAAGTATGCTCTACTCACAAAAGGCTATAGGTCCAGTTGATTATAGCATATTTTTCCAATTCTAGAAAATAACATCTCTATAGATTTAATAAAAGGTAAGCAAACAATGCAGTTTAGCTTCAAAATTTAGAGAGCAAAATTTACTCTAATTCACATATACTGCCTACATCCTAAATCAAAGAAGGTCATTATATTAGTTTATCATAGGTGACATTTGGATAGTCATGGGGTATGGGATAGAGATATTGGGATG